CCCTTTTGTGCGGCTGTTACAGAGAAGATATACAAGAGGTTTTCTGTGATTTTGAGTAGAGAGAGTGGCTGTTTGGTGGTGATCGGTGAAGATGATGAGATCAGAGATGATCGGCAACAGTGGTGATGAGATCCAACTCACGGGGCCGGAGAGAGGTTGACGGTTGGAGACTTCAGGGATTTTTTCCCGTGGCTGCCCTCCTCTCCTTTCTGTGCCATCCCCTCCTAAAAATGTTTTATGCGGGTAGGGTTTTGGTATTTTCGTTTTGGGGGGAGAATGGGCTAAGACTTTGGTTGGGCTCCAATCCAGACCCAACAGCCCAAACGATTTTTTATTTTTCTTTTTCTTTTTTTCCTCTTTTTTTTTTTTTTTTTTTTGGGCATTCGTTTCTGATATTAGGTTATGCCTCTATCTGTTCCCTCACCTTAATTAGAGGTTTAATTTAGTTATTTCAGTTAACAGAACAAATTAAAGTTCTCATATATTTTTCTTTTCTCATGTTATTGAAAATAATTAAAAAAACAATATTTAAGTACAAATTAAGCATCTCATATATTAATCTTTAATACTACTGATCGAAATACAAAAATATATATTGGTACCCTTAGAGATCCATACATGCACTTTTTTTTTTTTGGACAGTAAAATATTCTTTATTTAATGGACTATTACTTCTACACAAAAAACATTAAACCCACATGCAAACCACTCTCTCATGCTGGGAAGAACTAGAACTAGGGAATTAATGCCAACGAGCTCTCATCAGCAAACTTGAAAACCCATTTTATTAATAAACCAGCATTTATTTATATAAATACCTTCAACACCATTCACTCTAAAGTCCTTCACAGGCGGAGGGTGAGGTCCATATTGGCAGAATCATCCTCATCAGTGGTAGTGGAGAGAGCATCAGCAGTCGAAAGCCTCAGAAAGCTCCGAGGGGCCGAGATGGAAGCTAGGTTCTGGTCCTGGTGCTGCTGGTGCGGCGGCAGCGGAGGCTGCTGTGGATGAATGGGGAACAGATGATGAAGTAGGGGGTATTCCTGCAGGTTGTTGGCCGGAATGTTTGGCCCAGCAGGAGCGGCTCGCTCGCCCTTGTGAGCTTTCTGATGGGTGGCGCGAGCTTTAGAGGTGGGAAACTCCTTGGGACAGCGGGGCCAGGGGCAAGGAAAACGTAGCGGAGACGAGTTAGTGGATGGAGCTGTTGCATGCTCTGTGGGTTTGGCCTCCTGCCGAGCAGCGGCTGGCTTGCACTTGTGAGCTTTCTGATGGCCGGCACGAGCTTTAGAGGTGGCAAACTCCTTGGGACACTCGGGCCAGTGACAAGGAAAACGTGGCGGAGACGAGTCGGTGGCCGAAGCTACGGCATGCTTGGTGGGTTTGGAGGCAGAAGGATGGCTCGCGCTGAAGAAGTTATACATGGAGGGGTTTGCCATTGAAGTTACGGGGAAGGGTAGGAAGTGGGAGTGGAGTGAGGTTGGGGGGAGATGGAGGGGGGTATTTATAAAGAGAAGGAAGGGAAGGAAGTGATGGAGGGGCAGGATGAACCCGGAAGTCATTGTCAGAGGGGCAGGATGAATCCGGAAGTTCACTGTCAGAGGAGCATTTGTGAAGGGGTTAGGAGTTTTAATTATGATAGTTAGTGTGAATTATTTTATAAAATAGGTTAAATCTTAATCATTATCTAACTTTACCTCCAAAAAATTCATTATTTAACTTTACCTCAAAAAAATCGAATACTTTATTTTCAACTCAATCATTTACATATACGAAAATCAGCATGTTAATTGTC